TAGCTAGTCCCCTTAGTCCCCTTAGCTAGTCACCTTAGTCCCCTTAGTTCCCTTAGCTAGTCACCTTAGTCCCCCTAGTCCCCTTAGTTCTCCTAGCCCACCCTCAAAAAAGGTACTATAAATATAACATATGTCGGCTGAATTCTATATATCTTATGTATGTATACATAGTAACCTTTTTTATAAGGAACAGGAGACAAGGAACCAAAGAATTCTTGAATTCTGAATGTAAAGAATTTCTTAGTCCCCTTAGTTCCTCTGCCTTGGTAAAAATGGGGTGTTATTTTTTATTCAAAATTCAATTTGAAATAAAAAAACCCATAGACTCAGAAATGAATAACTAAGTGGGTTCCCGTTCCTAGGAACCCGGGAAGCCTGAGTGACTTGCTCAAAACGAAAGAAAAAGTATGTCTATGAACTCAAGCGCGTTCAAACATGCATAGAAATGAATAACCAAGTGGGTTCCCGTTCCTTGGGAACGGAACCCTTGAGGAACGGGAACCCTGACACCCCTACTTATAATTGACATGATGTATATAATTGTACTTATAGTTCTCCATAAAATATATTTTTGTATTTGTGTTAGTTATAAAAGATATATATTTATTTGTATTAATTTTTCTTTAAAAATCATCTGAAAAATATAAAATAAAAATAAACTACAAAACTAAACTAAATATCACCGACAAAAATTCAAATAAGTCCAGGAATAAATGCATATGGTACTTTTTCACAATAAATTGTCCAATCTTTACCATATTTCGTTTTACATCGAGATACATCACGTGTATAACGATGAATAATCATACCGAAAAAGAATATTGGGTAAAAATACGGTAAAACACCTGGCCATTGATGACATGATAATGCCCAACATGTTGCCATACATATATCTGCTGTATAATGTGGTTTACGACAATATTTCCACCAACCATCAATTAATAATGTTGAACCACAGTTAGTTTTTAAATATTTTGGATCTTTTAATGTATTCCATGGAACTTGTGGAAATGTATTTCGTGGTACATATGTTCCACGTTGTTTCATACGAAAACGATTTTTTTGTGCTTGAGATGAATCCCATATATAATAAGCAAAGAAAAGTACAATGAATAATACAATAATTAATATCATCGATGTACCTTCCGTTGGCTTTTGTGTTCTTAAAGAATTAACGAGAATGTAATTAGCTTGAAATGCATATACAAATGGAACACCAGCTAAATTCCAATAGATTAACATCCAACCCCATTTTTCATAGAATATATCCCAAGTAGTTGGAATACATTCTTCACCTTTCATACAAGCATTTATATAGAGTAATTGAGCTGTTAAGATAAATATCATTGGCCATGAAACGATATGAAATGCTTCATATTGTTTTAATGCAGCAGAAACAATCAAAAGAAATAATAAAAGCCATGATAAACGTACCTCAGCTAACATTTTAAGATCAATATCTTGTCCCAAAATTTTAACACGTGGATTTAACCAAACTCCCATAAAAAAATCATAAATAGGTGAATGTGTCATTCGACATGTTTGATTTGTTTGTATAGCATAAAAATAAATAAATACTGATAAAATATCACTACATATCACAGCTACACATAATACTGAACCAAATTGATCAACTAATATTGTTAATCGAAATATACCAGTTATATGAAATATAGTAAGAAGTATTAATGTTAAATACCAACTAGCTAATGCATTACAATTATAAGTATATTGTCGATTATTTTCTGTCGGTACTGGTAAACCTTTAACTTTGAAACCAGGTAAAATAGCAGCAAATATAAGTTGTAAAAGACAAAATCCTGTATAAAGATAAAAAGCTGACCATGTTGGTGAACATGTTTCTTTAAAATTTTCTATAAATTCATTAAATGATAATGGAAAATAAGGACCACCTGAATTATATCGAAGTGATAAGGTAAAATAAAATGGTACAAAATGTGAAAATATCATTAAACCAATAGCTCCTATTGTACCACCAAATTCTTTTTGTTCTTTACTCATTGTTAATAATATTCTATATCTGAAAAGTATAAGAAGAATATGAAAACTAAAGTTGAAAAAAACTTTTTAAGAACATTCAATAGTATCCTACTTATTTGTTGATAAGCACATATGGGCTCATCAGTAGATGATAACTTCGGTAAACAATGTTATCGTTGTCAAAATATCAAAAAAAAATATATATTTTTATCAAAAACTATGTCAATATTATTAAAAAGATCGAATGTAATCAATTAAATCATTTAATTTTTTGTTATATTGACAACTACTGTCATCTATCGTGATTCAATTGGTTGAGATTTTTCGTGTGTGACATGTTAGTCAATCACTTCTATTCCTATTCGTTGCATTTCATAACTCATACATTGATCATATTTATGACATAAAAGGTAATTATATGGCCTATGACTCTTACTCATTAGTTTCGTGTTTCTTTACAAAAATTACGAATAACGCTCAGTTGATGTCAAAATGCAACTATAGTTTTGCGATGGTTGTTTTACTGCAGGCGTCTGAGTATGTTAAAATTAGAGGACAGCATCGGCAAGGTGTGTTTTTTTTTCTACACATCATATTTTTCAAAAAAAAAAAAAAAGAAATACTCATGCAAAATTAACATCGATTTGTGACACAAACAAAGTACACTTTTTTTATCGGAACATAACTTTTATTTTATTTTTTTGTCCTTCGTTACTTATCAGAATTCTGAAATGACTGAAAATTTTTTTTTAAATTTTATTTAATTAAGCGACATTATATGTAGATTTTGATGTTGATTTCGAATTTCATGTCGGTATGTTAGGAAAATAAAATTTTCACGAAAGGAAATCTTGTTTTTTCTAAATTACTGATAAACGCTCATATTCTAGGGGCACTGCCGACTGACATAACAATTCTTTTAGAATATCCATCATGCACTTAGTTCTGTGTGAAATTATGTTTTTAATTCGCATGATGTAAGAAAAAAAAACAAGTTAAAAATCAAGTTTTGAATGATTTTAGAGGTAAATCAGGAAAAAAACACGGCTTTTCTGCTCCCGTTGATCATGATATGTGTACTTGATGATCATAGTACTTAAATCCATGCAGGTTTTCATGCTATTTACGAATATGACTTCAAAAATACACAAGAAAATTTCAACAACATGGTCACGAATATCAGAAATACTCAAATTACAGTAGAAAAGTTAAATAAATGCTTCAGTATTTGACAATTATAGCCAAGAGAAAATAATCTTAAAGTAAAATCTGTAGAACAGTCGTGACTAATATAGAAAACAACATCTAATCTATATGGATTCAGTCAAAATAATGTTTCTTATTAGAATGTGATTCATATTCTCTTTCAATTTTTTTTTCTCATGTAATTTCACCAGAATTCCTTACATCATATGTGTTTTACTTATAAATCAATTTTTATTGGTTATAATTTGAAAACATTCGAACTTATTTTACCTTCTCTGCTCTTCGAATATTTTCATTAATTGATATGATCTTATTCGTAATCTTTTTCTTGTTTTTGAAATCATACTCAGAAAAGACATGCAAACATTCATCGGTCTGTGTATTGTACCTATAGATTAGAGATTTCTTTATTGAATAACGATAGATCATGGCTCTCCGAAAACCTTGATTTTTGGAGTTTCGATCTGAATATCATTCTATAACTTCGTTTTTAAGTATTTTTTGTATATTATTCTAAACTGCTAAGGCGAATTCTCACACTAACTTTCTGCTAGCTTCATTCCAGCTAAATTGTAAAGTTTAGCTATCTACAGATCCCATTCATTTGAAAGTAGCTGAATGATCAAAACCAGTTCAATTAGTTGATATACATTCATCATATATCTTATCAGTAGTGAAACCTACATTTAATAATGCTTAATTTAATAAAATTTGAAAAAAAAAAATTTAATGATTCTGGGGCTCCTACGAGTTAAAAATGAAATTCATTTTTCAACTAAAAATATTCTTCATTTTACTCAGCATTTAATGTTGATTTCGAATATATAATAATTTTCTTTTTAAGTGTCATGGATAAAAAAAGAAACACAACCTAATCAACACGAGTCCCCGCTGTATTATATTAAATAATTTATGGGGATTTTTCATTTGCTTAATAAATGATTTTAATAACGTAAAATTTTAGACAATACGTATCAATAAACGATAGAAAACAGACAGAAGAGTAATATAGCCAATGGGAATATTTATTTTGTAAGGTTATTCATGCAATCTGGAGAAAATATTATTCGCATCGATGATTTTTTTTCTTCATCTCGTATACAGTATTCTACTGCGGAAGTATTTTAAAATGACACCTATTGCCTATATGCGTAACACATGTTACATGATTTATTGGTCAATAGTAGGAAAAAAATTAAATATAATTGCTATAATGTCCTATTACCTACTGTGATTTGTCAACTAGAACAGAAATATTTTTCTACGCATCTTTACATCATTGCATAGTCTATCGATTTATTTTTTTTTCTCGTTACTGGAAAAAACAACGATAAGAACGATCACGATTTGTTTTCTTCGTTTCAACATAAAAGAATATATTAAAAAAGAGAAGGCGTAAATGTCACCGATCGAGAACATGATTAAACTTGTATCCTATAAGAAGAAGCAGGGCGCCCGTGATTGTGTTTTTGTGTTCCACCGTTTTTCTTTCCTTGAAAATCAAACTTTTTTCGTTTAATAAAATTATTCCATTATGTCATGTAGTGTTTTTTGGTATTGAACATAAATATTATCATTTCGAAATAATATTTTTCTATTTTTAGTACAAAACAACAAAATGATCGGTTCTACATTTATTTTTTAGTGATTATACAAATTGAAAACTGATAAAATACAATGAGTAGATGTCGACAAATTGGTCTAGTTTTATGGAAAAATTTTACTATTCGACGAAGACGATGGGTTTGTTTTGAATAATTAATTAAGATTGAAAAAAGATTTCTTTTTTTTTTCTTTTTGAAATTTAGCCTCGTGTAGTCTTCGAATTAATTTGGCCACTGTTTTTATTTCTTATTCTTATGTGGGTACGAACACGAAATTTAGTCTTTTATAATGATGCTTGTAAGTATATTTTCATTGTAGGATAAAAAAAAAAGCAAACTAATAATTTTTTTAGGTCATAACGATCCAAAATATCTTGGATCAACTGGTTTTTTACCAGCATTACAAACATATATTTGTCGATGGAATAATACATGTCATAATTATACAAATCCAACAGATCAATTTAAAATATTGACTGATGATCTACCGTATGTATTCTTTATTTATTTCTTTATTTATTTTTACTTTCTTAGAAATTTATTGAATCAGTTTTCAAATTTTACTAATAATCTTTTAATGACATTAAATAATGATCAAATTATGGAAAATCTAACTGATTCTCTATCTCAAATAAACAATATTATTACTTATATAAGTATTTGGAATGGTAAAAATAGTTCATAAGAAAATAAAAATTTTTATTAATATATTGTTCTTGTTTTTTTTTGAAGGAACTATTTTAGCAAATAACACAACGAAAGATTTTAATCAATCAATACCAGCAACGACATTAAATATACTTTTTACAAATCCTGTTAATTTATCTAATCTTCATCAATCATGGTTGATTAATAGAACAAATTCATTATCGAATACAGATGTTGCTATTGAAATATTTATTGTATCTTTACAATCAAATTATGTTTATGTAAGTTTTTTTAACAAAATAAATTTTTTTGTTTTGTAGTTTTTTAAGAAATAAATTTATATTTTGTTTAGTCTTATCAAACAGAAACAAATATTAAACAATCTTTTTGTATTAATGGACAATTTAATCAAACATTTTTAATTAATCAACAACAATCAATTCAAGCAAAAGATTTTTTATGTAATAATTTATCAGCAATTGACTTAAAAAATTTTTTAATTAGTGTACAAAAACAACTTGATATAATATTTTTAGTAAAAAAAAAATTTTGAAGAATATTTTTTTTGTTCAATTGTTTTTTTTTTTATTTAGACTCATATTGAACTAAACATAATGAATACTGGTCTCACTAGTACACAGGTAAGGATTTTAATCAATTTTAGGTATGTTAATATATAGATTTGTTAAGATTATGCAAGCTACTGAAAACATTCGTTCTCAATTCGAAATTCTCAATAGCCACTTTTCATTTGGAGAAATCAAAAATAATTTGAGGTAAGATTTCAAGTTTTATAAAAAAAAAAACCAAGTGATTTGGTTGTAAGATTGAATCAAATATCTAAAGGAAATGATAATCATTTATTAAGAATTTCAACTACAATAGACAGAAAAATTGTTTTTTTTCTTTTGGCATGTGATTTAGATAGAAAAACAAAAGACTTTTAAAAATGATGCCACTTTGAATATATCTTTATAGTTAAAATTGACTTTCGAATTAATATTTTGCTCAAATCTTCTAAAAAGTAAAGCCTGAGAAGAAAATATTATATCAATATTGTCACATCGATCAACTTTTGAATGGAATTAATAACAAAAAAATTCAACAACATTTTATTTTTCAAAAACTTCCATCAATTATTTAATGTCCCTGGACGACAAGAAAATAATATATATCGAAAATATGCACCCTACCACGAAACCATTTATTGACTATTGTAATTTCATCAATCTTTCAAGATCTCAGAAATTGAAAAATATATATATTCTATTGAATGAATAAATATAGTAAAGCTCTATTGTTCATATATAGAATAATAATCTAAATACATCTCTATTATAGACACTTAGAGTAGAGAAAATAATTAATTCAAAAAACATTTTTTTATGATTGCAAAACGATCAACTTAGTCTTTTTTTTTTATAGAAAAAGCTATATTTTGGGTATAAAAATCAAGGGTAAATTTAATTTTCAATATACCCTTGAGAAGAGCTCTCATTACAATAGAAAAATCAGCATTGAATATATTTTTTCATATCCTTTCTGATTGAAAAAGAAATTGAC